CCTTGAGCTGCAGTGGGCTCCACCCAATTCGAGCTTCCCAAAGGCTATGTTTACGTACTTAAGCCTCAGCAATGGCAGGCGCCCCTCCCCCAGCCTCACTGCCGCCTTGCAGTTAGATCTCAGACTGCTGTGCTAGCAATGAGGGAGGCTCCATGGGTATGGGACCCTCCAGGCAGGCGTGGGTTATAATCTCCTGGTGTGCCATTTGCTAAGACCCTTAGTAAAGTGCAGTATTAGGGTGGGAGTTATCCAATTTTCCAGGTGTTGTGTGTCTCAGTTTCCCTTGGCTAGGAAAAGGAATTCCCTTCCCCCTTGCACTTCCCAGGTGAGGTGATGCCTTGCCCTGCTTCAGCTCTCACTGGTTGCGCTGCACCCACTGACCAGCACCGACTGTCCGACACACCCCAGTGAGATGAACCCGGTACCTCAGTTGAAAATGCAGAAATCACCCGTCTTCTGTGTCATTCACGCTGACAGCTGGAGGCTGGAACTGTTCCTATTCGGCCATCTTGGGCACCCTGATACTTTCTTTTTTTGAGGTGGAGCCTTGCTCTGTCTCCCAGACTGGAGTGCAGTGGCATGATCTCGGCTCACTGTAACTTCTGCCTCCCAGATTCAAGCTATTCTTCTGCCTCGGTCTCCTGAGTAGCTGGGATTACAGTTGCATGCCACCATGCCCAGCTAATTTTTGTACTTTTAGTAGAGATGGGATTTCACCATGTTGGCCAGGCTGGTCTCAAATTCCTGACCTCAGGTATTCCACCTGCTTCAGCCTCCCAAAGTGCTGGGATTACAGGCACAAGCCACAGCACGCAGCCAAAAGACACATTCTAAAAAATGAAAAGGGAAATCACAGACCAGTGGAAAATATTTGCAATCTGTTTGTCAAATAACAGAATTGTATCCTGAACATTCATAGAAATCCTACAATGACAACAGTTTCAAAACATGGGCAGAGGACTTGAATAGACACTTCACAAAAGATCTAGAGGTGGCTAAAAAAACATATAAAATGGTTCTCAATATTAGTTGCCAGCAAAATGCAAATTAAAATCATAATGCAACACCACTTCTCACCCACTCTGATATGTTACTGGTGGGAGTATGAAATGGTACACTCACTTTGGAAAACTGAGAGTTTTCTGTAAAGTTAAACATACACCCACTATATGATCCAGCAAGTCTACTTTTAGGTATTTACCCAAGAGACACAAAAACATACATCCACAAATGTTTACAGAAGTTTAATTCACTATAGTGAAAAGCTGGAAACTACCCAAATGTCTATCAACAGCAGAATAAATGAACAGTTGTGATATATTCATTTCATGGAATACTATTCAACAATAAAATAAAAAAGCATACACATAACAAAATTAGCTGGGCATGGTGGCATATGCCTGTAATCCCAGCTACTTGGGATAAAAGGTTTTTAAAAAGATAAAATGAAAAATAATGAATTTCAAATACAAAAAAAGAAGATCTAACACAAATATAAGGATTCTTACCTGAGAGGCCACAAATTCTGAAGGGATACCTACTTAGAAAAAAGGGGGTCTGTGAACTTGGATGAACATTATATCTTCATTTTCACTTAATCTAACTGAAATTTATCATTTTATTTAATTACGACCTTAGCTAATAAGCCACAGTAATATTAGCAGAACCTCTGACTTTGTCACCAGATATTTTTACATCACATTGCCAATGCTGCAGATGTTTTAAAATATTGTTTAGACTCATCACTACTTCAAAATTCTGGTAATTATGAGACTTGCCACTAGATCACATGTTACCGTAGATACCTGTGTGTAATCTTGTTATTAATACATGTAGTCTTTTTATTTAATACATATAAAGAAGCATACATGTTACATATACAAATGTGTTTTCTATTTTTTTAAATTGTGGTAAAATATGCATAGCATAAAATTTACCATTTTAATCATTTTAAGTGTCTGTGGCACTAAGTACAACCTGTGTGCAAACATCTATCCAGCTCCAGAACTTTCTTATCTTTCCCAACTGAAACTCTGTACCCATTAAATAATAATTCTCCATTCCATCTCCTGCCAGCCCCTGGCAACCATCACCCTACTTTCTATCTCTGTGAATTTGACTACTATCGACTATTTGACTATTATACCACAAATAAGTGAAATCATACAATATTCATCCTTTTGTGATTGGCTTCTTTCACTAAGCACAATGTCTTCAAGTTTCATACATGTTGTAGCAGAATTTCTTTTCTTTTTAAGGCTGAATAATATTCCATTGTATGCTTATACTACATTTTATTTGTCCATTGATGTATTGATGGCCACCTGGGTTACTTCTACCTTTTGGCTATTGTGAATAAGGCTGCTGTTGAACATGGGTATGCAAATATCTTTTCTACCTGTGTTTTCTGTTTTAATGAAACTACATTGCAGCATATAATT